GCCGGCGCCCTCGGCGGAGGCTCGAAAGCTCCGGGTGGACCCAGAAGGGGAGAGCATGCTGCTGCGCACGACGTGACGAACGAGCAACACACACACACACACCCATACCCATACCCACAGGGGGGTCGTTGGGAGGAGGACTGGCCATGGGTATGGGTGCGGGTTGTCGGACCCTGGGGAACGCTCCCGCTCGAGCGGGGGCCCCCATCCGACAACACGCACCCATAGCCCTCTCCGACCCCCCTATGGGTATGGGTGTGTGTGGCTGGTTCGTCACGACGTTGACGCCAGTGCGGGAAGTCACGGGTTGGATCCGTAAGTGGATCAGTCTGCTTCTTTGATGGTGGAAGCTATGATGCTTCTTTGAGCTGTGGGCCGGCTCATGATGCCAGAAGGGGGTCCGGATTAGCGCCGACTCAGCGTCGATTTAGCGTCGACTTAGCGTCGACTCAGCGTCGATGTAGTGTCGAACCGCTGCGATTCGCAGGAGCCAACAAGGTGGTATGGGAGGCTCCCACGAGTTGCCACGGAAGCTTTTGAATCTCGGGTTTTGCACTGGGCCTCCTTCCAAATCTAGCTCCAGGTTGACCCAGAAGGGTGGTGCAATAGAGTTAGTGCAATGGAGTTGCGGGGTTGCAGTAGGATTGGGGTGTGCAAAACATTATGGTGCGCAAATGTGTTGCTGGATTGTCTCGTGCTGTAAACTAGTTGGAATACAATGCAATACAACTCTCTGGTGCAATACATTTGCAATAAAATTGCCCCAAATCTATTGCACAACCCCCTTTCAGCTGGACCCCCCTTTGGGTCACGAGGAAAGCTGGAGGGCAGCGGAACCTTGGAACGCACATAATAAAACCAGTACTATGCGTCTTCTTTGGAAGCGCGCGTCTGACCCAAACATGTAGTATACCAATATTGTAGTGTATCGGTTCCCGAGCGGTGTGACCACGAAGCGCCCGCCGCGACGCATGTACTATAAGATTTCTCGATGCGCGCGTCGCCCCTTGGGGGGGGCGACGCATACATAGTATTAGTATGTTTGGGTGGCGCCGAAACCACTCTCATGACGAGCACCCCGGCGCCGGACGACGAGACCTACACCTATCCACTGGCCCTCAGAACTACGACGCCAAGACCAGGACAGCACCGGGGTGGGGCACATCTGGGATCTCTGAGACCCTGCGGTTCTGGACGATGCATCGGGCGCCGCGGCCGTTCCGAGGATGGATCGGAACGCTCTGAGGGCGTTCTGGAACGCTCTGGAACGATGCACCCCAGGCCTGGCCCCGCAGCGAAAAAGAAACACAGGTTGCCCGGACAAGAATGGAGGGGCAGCACGCCGACGGGCTCCCAGCAGCAGCGTGTCGCTGATACTCCGTCCCTCCTGGGAGCAGGGCGACGAGACCTGCGCGCACCACCGCCGCGAGCCAGGCCCATCCTGGGCCCAGAAGCCCAGGATGGGCCTGGCCGGGAGTGGTGTGTGTGTGTGTGCGTGGCGATAGACCCTGCATGCCCGTCTAGAACCCAGCCAGGACTGTTTCGCGAACGCCCACGGCTGTTTAGCAAACGCCAGTGACGAGGTTCTGGGGCAGTTTCCCATTCTTGACGAATGTAACTCGCCATCGCTCGGACGTCCATTCCCTGTGTTTTTTCGGTGTAGTGCGTGGTTTTTTCGCCTAATGATGGCCCTCGCCGAAGGAAAAATGCACACGTCCGAGCGATGCCAAGGTAATGCCAAGGCAGGAGGAAGACAAATTCGGCTGAGGGCGAGCTGGGGATCCCCGAGAGCCGGCGGATCCGTACCGCCATGGCCGAGCCTGCAATACATCAGCCCCCGAGTACGGACGTCTCCGTTGTACTTCTGCCGCCTTCCGCCTGCAGCTCCGCCGACCCTCAGCCGTCGGGTTCACCGACGACAGGGCCAGGGCCGAAGGCGAGTCCCTGCCTGGAGCGGCCCGGCCGGGGCTGGAGCAAGCGGGGTCGGAGGGTCGCGCTGCATCGTCGATGCCTCGGCGATGCGCTGGCGACGCTGCGATGGAGTAGATGGGGCACGGGATCGCTCCGCATCGCCGATGCATGGGCAATTCGGCGCGATGCTCCGACCCCGTCTGCTTTGACTGGCCCAACATATGCAGCCTGGGCCTGCCCCCCACTCTTTTTGTTGAACTGGCACTTCTGAAGAGATCCACCGACCCTGTCGGAGTGTGTGGGACGCCTAGCGAGACCCTTGCAGAGCGCAGCCGATCGAAGCGTTCCCAGCGAACCCCAACCTCCGAAGAGAAACCGTTCCAAGCCACGAGCCCGTCCGGAGCGTTGCGAGGTCGCCAAGTGGAGCGTTTCAAGGTCGCCAGCCTGAAGGCGGTAGCCCCACGTCGTAAGCAAGTTGAAGGGAAGCCCCAGGAGGAGGAGGATGACGGAGGAGGAGGAGGAGGA